CAAACGCTCACAGGAACAACAGCGTGTTCAAGCCAATAAACATCGCCGAGAAGTAGACTTTGACGTTGGAGATAAAGTGTATATCCGGCGCGGTGCTTGGAGAACTACGAGACCGTCGGATAAGCTGGAAAATCCAATGGTGGGACCATATCGGATCATTGCCAAAGAAGGGCATTCATTCCGCGTTCAACTACCCGCCTCTTGGAAAATACACCCTGTATTTTCACCAGACCGACTGCGCAAAGATCCAGATAACCCGTTGCCCGGCCAGGCCAATCCAGAGCCGCCGGCAGAAGAGGTCAATGGAGAGTTAGAATGGGAGATCGAGAAGGTGTTAGACGCGCGGCTGTATCGCAATCGGCTGCAGTACAAGGTTCAATGGGAAGGCTGGGACGCAGACGAGGAATGGTATCCGGCTGCCAACTTTCGGAACGCACTCCTCATATTAGAAAAGTTCCACGCTGAGCACCCTAAATTGCCAGGGCCACCAAGACGTCTCGCTACGTGGTTGGACGATGCCGCACATGATAGATTTAGTGAGGAACATCCGGAAGATAATATGGTGACCAACCAAGGTCGTGACAACCAACGCCGCCGCAGAAATTAGTCGATTTGGGACAATCAAAGGCTGAGGAGGGGGTGATGTCACGGCACGGCATTCTGCTCCGCCATGATATACAATTACGTGGAGGGAGGATGTGAGACTGATGGCTGATGCAGGAAGGAGCACGGACGCGGCGATTTAGTGGAAACCCGCCCGAATAGGAATAGCCTCAGGGCTTTTTGTAATGAGATCCTGTTCTTTTCTATTCTTCTCCAGCTTAGTATTTGCTTCACAGATTGAATTATTGCCATACAAGCTGTACTTTCACTTGTGCCTATTCTACGCCGTGACATCAGGTTCCCGACAAGATTGACTCTCTCTACACATGTTACAAGTGCGCTTATCGCGCCTTGTTGTGTTATCCACGTAACTTACCATGGTACATGCTTTAGGTCGCGTCATAGAATATGCACGTGACTGTGGAACTAAAACGTGGGGTGTTTAGTGTGTAATGCATGTGTGGGTATACTGGACCAAACTTGACCTCAATGGAATAGAGATTATGGAATCAGCAAGAGACTGATGGACTGAGAGAGAACAAGCTGGTCATTTCTCGTAGGAGAGAAATGATATCATAAGGGAATGTTCTAGCACTAAGCTGTGAATAACACAGTAAGTCTAGAGCAACATATAAGGAGGTCTCAATCTCCATCCATTCATTGTAACTAAGTTTCCTTTATACGAGAATATAGAGTCAAGTCTTACATATCACGAGAACACACGCAATAGCGACTGTAAAGACCTACTGTGAGCATAATTTCCCCAAGAGTATCCATTGTCCTGCTCCCATATAGCCTAGTTAATATAACACGCCTACTATTGCATATACATTTGGATATTTACGTACTACAGTGTATCTTGGCTCAACATGGTAGATGAGAGGTGGCTGGTCATCACTAGGTTTGACAGGCACATGAGGCTAGTGGGAATTTCTCCCCTAAGATGTATATATAAGTCCAATGTTCCCATAGTTGTAAAATATTAAGTCTTCTTTACTTCATCATATTTATCCATATAATATTGTATAGAGTATGTTTCCCAACACAAACAGAGCAAATGCCTGCAGTTGCGTGACCATCATAACTTGAGCTGTGTACTGTAGCTATATGGGTCCAGGCACAACAAAAACCATCCGGTCTAGCTGAAATATTGACTGCCATTTGAAGTAGCATGTTTTTATTCATGTTTGTGCCGGACATATGATGAGATATTTTTTCATATACCTGTTGCAAAACATGGTGGTAACTTTCGACTTTTCCAATTGATCAATGGGCCTCGACTGGCATGGCTTTTTTCCTTTACCCATGTCCTAAACAGAGCAAGTAATCTGTCCTCCTGCCTTTTTTTTAATATCCGAAGGCCAATATCATGTGACCTGGATCTTCCTCAACACAACACAACATGCAGACTTCCTACACATCTAGTGACCACTAACAGTCAGGTAAATATGTGACCCAGACGTTATTTACCCCGTAATATTATTGTATATATTAGGTCTCAAAAATAACAGCTAATTTATACATGATAATTATCCGAGCCAATGACATAGCTTTCTATATGTATACCTATATACCCGTATATCTGTATATCTGTATATCCATATATCCATATATTTGTTCTCGTATCCCACCCTTGAGTCTCATTTGCGGAAGTTTTACAATATTGATATTGCCTCTTGTAAGCTCCTGCTTCCGAAAATAGACTCAACATTGTTTGACGCTAAGCCTGTGTTAGACAGCGCAGACTAAAGGTAATTTCCGGCTTACCAGCTGTCACAGCACATACCACTTCCCAGTTAATAGTTGGTAATTTTAACTTCACTGTTACACATTGAACTTAGAGCAATATTATTAAGAATTCTCATTAAATAATGTACTAAATCAACACATATTTTGATGTCACAATGAGTGCTGCTTCGAAACTGCTTATTGCAGTGGAACATATTGCTAAACAGACCTTTTTTTTTTTTTTTTGCATCAGATTTTAATTGCGTATGTGTTGTGCTGGCTCGGTTGAGTTGTTAGGAGACAGGGGAACGGAGGATGGGCTGCTGGATTAGGAAAGGGTGGAAAATACAGGCTGGTGCACAGATGCTGTTCATGTACTCTACAATCTCTTCACCTGCCGAGTTCAGTGAATCAATCTATCCATATACTATCATACTTCACATCATCCATTAGATGATATTATCAATTGTCGGGATGCACATCTAGCATCACATTCATAGATCACCATCGTCAGTAAGAGTTCACATTTGATACCTACTGACACCCATTTGGCCACAGTGATACGCACTCAGTGTCCATTGTGCCATCACCCAGCGTGAGCGCGCCATCTCCGCGACTCACCATTGCACATGAGCCCGTATAATTCCACCGACGGACAGCAGAGACATAATTGCTATATACCTCACAGCTCATAACCACAACAGTATGCAGCTATCTAGCTATGACACAATATCAAAGAAAAGTACAGAATAGATGATTCAACATAAAGGAAGAGCACTCATGCCTCAGATTTCATTTGCAAGTACCACTGCGAAGTTATGGTGGCTTTTTCTTCACCCCAAGTCAACCCTCATCCGTGAATACCCACCCAGGGGAACGTCTCAAAAACCCTGAGTTATCCAGACATGCCTCCGTCATCCATCAACTTTTCTCTGCACGAAATATGATCTGAGATGTCTCCTTCCCAAGTAGAGTAGGTGCCCAGGCTACTCAAACTTTACCGGAGAACATCACCAGGAGGCGGATCACAACAACTTCCATCGCTGGCTTGTGTTTATAGTGTCAGCTGCACTCTCGCAAATGAAGTCTTGGCGCGCACAAAGCTCAATTCGTAAAACTCCATGCCACAATTCGAAATTTCACGCCCGTCGAAAACGTATCCCTCTTCTGCATCATCTCGTAAACTTGTCCAGATCCCTCTCATGTCCATCCCAAAGAGCTATCTCTCAGATTTGTGCTCCACGCTTTGCTTCCTCTGTCGGGTGTAAATATCGGCGTGGGTGTGTATTTGGTGACCGGCTGAGGCTAGAGAAAGTCGACGAGAGGTGTAGTCATTGAAACGAGGATGTACTAGGTCGTACTTGTAGACTTGATGAAGCTTAGTTGAGAATCGGACTCGTTGGGAGTGAAAGAACGACGTGGTGGAGTATTTTGATTCATTGCCTCGTGAGCCAACTTCTTGAGTATTGCGAAATTTGACTGAACTTGGCTCTGGGAGAATATTTCACTCTCAGGTTTGTAGAGGACACCGCGTACAGGTGTTCAGTCTTGCCCTCCTAAACGGACCTTTATTTGCGTCGTGCGACGCTTTTCAGCCTCAATCACTGATTGCAGCTCCGGAGGATATTCCGGTGCTCATGTCGAAGCTATGCCTTTTGAAGTTGGCACAGCGAGTTTTCTTACAGATTTTTCTGCATGTTCTGTCGTCTTCTCTCGGTCGACTTCCTTTCTGTTGGTACATGTTGGAGTTTGGAGTCTCTGGCCATATGATGTAATGTTTACGTAATTAGAAATACTTAATATAACTACTTTCATAGCATAGATAGAAATGAACAAAAACCTATTTGCAATACAATAATTGACAGTAGTGTATTTGGAACCCTGGTGATTCCAACACTAATTAGTGATGTCTATTGAAATACAGGGCTAATCCTAGTTATCAGGATTAACATGTGTCCTTTATGATGTTTAGATCCACTATTGTAGTATATATGCGGCGAAGCTCCCTGAGCCCTTAATAGAAGTTAGTTGAACCAGTTTATTCTTTTTACAATATCACAAATATTGAGACCGAAATTAATCAGAGCAATCAATAGTGAATTAGGTATTGCACCTCTTTCATGGTGACAGATTAGGAAGAAAGATTCTAGCCTCAGTTGGTATACATTCGAAGAGTTGGATTTCAAGGTATTGCACTCTGTACTTCATCTGAGATCAACTAATCTGCATAAGTTCACAAAGCGACATTGAACTGCTCTAAGTATCCAAAAATACTTAAGATGTCTGAAAACAAATCCACTGGATCCGCTCTTATCAACACAGAAGATCCTTCATGTCTGAAAATCAATTTGAGTCTGGCTTCTTCCGAAGACCTTAAACACTACACCAGTACCAAATTTCAATTCTACACTGATAAAGACACGTTTGATGCCGATCTCTACAGCCTATTTCATTACGACTTCGCCGGCTGACAATCCTCTCACTTCGAACATTGCGGACTCCGTCTTGCCCAAAAGTTAAGAAAGCTCCTCAGTCAAGGTGGTGTCTACATGACAAAATCAAAATCGGACGATGTTTTTTACAACTTGGCAAACGCCCTGAAGTTTAATTTTGAACAATAGACAAAAGACCAAATATTAAACGCCTTACAAAAGATTCAGCATTTTCATTCACATCGCCAAACATATCATGCAAAATTAATTGCGACCTTGATCTCTACAAAATTGCATACTATAACTGTCAAAAGAAGATCACAACTATCCCACCTCTGCCATCAACTAGCAATAGCAACAGCACAACTTCAGCTTCCGCTCCTTCTAGCAGCAACTACCCTTAACCAAACCCTGTCCAGAATTCATTCACAAACATGCCTCAACTTCCGAGACTAGACATAATTCCCACTAACAATAAAACCACTTCTTTTCATCAATACAGTGATGCCAATGACATTAGCCGCTCACTTCAAAACCTGTCAAGATCCTACACCGGTGAAATAAAGTACGCAGATATGGATGATAGTTTTGATCACCAAATTTCGATCTCCTATGAGCTTTATAGTCGAAATAGAATAACCCAGGATTATCATATTAAAGCGTTCTCAACAATACTCAAAGGAATAGCAGCCGACTTCTACTATTCGAATCTTAGCCGTTTACCCCCTTCCTTTGAGTGCCTATATCAAATAGTTAAAACAAACTTTAAAGGTGAGGAGTACCATCAGCGCACCTTGAACAAATGGAACTCGCTCACTCTACAAAATTTAATTCAACAAAATCCCCAGCATGACACCATCACCTGTATGGAAATGTTGGCTCAATCTTTACGAACCCTACAACACAGTCTAGACCCCGAGTTTCGAACAGATAAATTTATACAATTCAAAATGATTGCTGCATGTAAAAATGTATCTGCTTGCAAACATGCATGCCTCACTCCACCTCCAACCTTTTCCAGATTGCTCAATTTTCTGCAATCATCTTTCACAATGTATGACAATATATGTCAAAATTCATCCTAAATCCTCAAAAGGCGTCTTCTACACAGACTATCCATTCCTCAGAAACAATCCTCAAGGGGTCACACCTTGTGAAAACTGACGGGGTTGCAGCAACACCCCATACATTCAGACCCCTGTTAAGACAAACATAGTAAATACAATATTGCCATTTATAGGATATATTTTCCGGAACAGACTTTGTTCCCATACATTTACTGACAACACAATTATTGTTCTTCAACCTCTGAATATTGTCTTAACCAGGGTTTTTTTGTTAGATTGGTGCTAATAATGCCGCCAAAAAGTGAATTTCTGTAGAGCAACAACGTGCTCTGCAACAATGGGCGCACCACCAGGTCCAAAAACCAACACAAAAACAGTGCATTGAGTGGTTTTTCGCTGAGTATGGCAGTCGATTAGGCCAGTCCACAGTCTCTGAGTCCTTAAATAAGACCTTTGCGAAACTCGAAGAAGCTACAAGTACTACTGCGCTACAACAGCAAGCTGGAAACTGGCCTGACCTTGAGAGTATTAGAGCAATTAAAGACGACAATTGGGAGTATAAAAGAGGCATCAAAAGTACAAAGTAGCCTAGATAGCTGGATTACATAATCACATTCTTTAAACCATATCCTCTATATGACAATATTTTTCACAATCCCAATTACATTGTCTTAACAGGGGTCTGACTGTACTACAGTAACAATTGCTACCTTTCTAAATCCAGATATCCCTCCAGACATCAATCACTAAGCTCCTCAAAATCATGCATGGTCTGCAACAAAGAAGGCTGTTGGCCCAACAAACACTCAAAAGCCGAGCGTGAAGAAGCCTTTCAACACCTTGTGTTACAGGCTGCACCTATCTCCTAGTGACTGTCGCACGGACACTTATCATTATTAGGTCATTAGCCTTGCTATATAAAGAGATTTCCAACTTGGCCATACAAATAAAGGGTTGCAACAAATATGGAAGCAGGATATTGTTGCAGCAAGTGTGACAGAAACCAAGTTGGTGATGAATAAATCGATTTATTAAACTATATGAAGAGAAAAGAAATCTCTACCTACTACTAACAGGTACTTATAACGTTTGGTCCGCTTCGTGAATCTGCTGACTGATAACTTCCCCCTAGGCCTAATACTTGCTACCGAGCCAAGTATTATCAGGAGCCATTACCCTATGATGTTGCTTAGACCTCCTGGCTAGTAGTGCCATTTCATCTCTATTTGCCCATCCTTCCTCTTTCAGTCTTATTGTAATTATTCCTAATTAAACGCTTAGGTTTCTGTTGGAAATGGAGACACGGAGTGTTGTGGACGTACGGGCCCTCCATTTCGTCTAGGTTCCCGACACAATCTTGTGTGTATGTAAGAGGTTGGAATAGGTAATATGGTAGCACTTCAGGCTTATTATTGGACATAAGAGCGGCTGTATGGCATGGGCGCAAGGAGGTTATTGGGGGTTTTCTATGCCTAGATGGTGCCACACTCATTTATGCTGTGGCTTAGGCTCTGTGTCGCTTACACTTGTACTTGTAGCGCACATCTCCAACACTTTTAGCTTTAATCCGAACATGAAACTCTTTTAGTCAACTTCTACTTTCGTTCCATGAAAATTGCGCCCATTTCATAGCGCGATATTTCCAACAGTTTCCCCCTAAGCTAAAACAAAGGTCAAACCGTAACAGCAAGTCTCATATGGAATCATGGGCAGACACGACCCAGATTTGCTATGACGAGCCTACTCGGAATATCAAGGATATGGTGTAGTAGAAGAGATAGTGAGGTTAGCGCATTGGGAGTTGGGACACCTAAAGTAGCCTCCCCTCGGTGGATAGTTCCGAGATGTATATAGAAAATAGATAGTAATCTAACACCAATCCTTTACTATATTGTTTTGTTGATCACCCATCACACCTTTGAAACCAAAAGAATAAGTATAACAAAAGGTTCACCCAATTTGTTACTGAATGTAGTCAGCTGGAATCAGCCATCCCCAACTCGATTCATTTAAGCCAACTCATGTCAGACCTTGACCTCCCTGACTCCAAGGAATTCAACGAAGTTTATTTCACCAAGTTCGGGCCTAACAACGGAAAGAAATGTCTCACGGAACTCAACAATGAAACTTCCCTCTACGCCTTAACCAGTTCTACTAGTAATTTCAAACCCAAAATTCCCGAAATCTACTACAGTGATTATGAATTTTTCGGCGTCATGATTGATACTGGTGCTGCCAAGAAATCCACTATCAGACACAGTCAATTCTTGGCCTTTCAGAAGATCAGCAACATTCAACTCGACACTACAACTGCCGGAGCTACGAAAGTTCAATTTGGCACAGGGAACACAACTTTAACAGGCTCCGTGGCTGTTAACGCTCCATTTGGCTCAGTTGAATTCCATGTTCTTAATGCTGACACACCCTTTCTATTCAGTATCACTGACGTGGATCTTCATGGCGCCTACTTGGATAATATTGACAACGTACTCGTCTCCCCAACTCGTAGATTCCCTGTGACTTGTCGATCTGGACACCCGTTTCTCCTCTGGAAAACACGCCTACCTTCAACGACTTACGAACTCGACCAAGATTGCTTTCTTACATATACTGAGCTACACCGACTCCATCACCGCTTTGAGCCGGCAAAGTCGAATTCTTCACCTTCCAGTGGTGCCGGTGTAATCGCTCAGTATGCTCTGCATATCTGGGATAGCCAAGAAGAATCGCATCCTTCGCAACGGTAGCTTGCTGAGCGTAGCCCAGTCAATTTCGATTGACACATGGGCTAGGTTCCGTTCCCGGCAGGATATGTCAAAAGTTTAAGTTTGGGTCTCTTCTATTCAGTCTTCCAACAACTTCCCGATTGAGTTTGACTGGGAGGACTTTACGGCTCACTAACAACCCTCCAAAATCAAAGGTAAAATTCCTTTCGCTTTCAACCTTACTAACATTGTGTGCAGGACTGGGCAATTGCTCGGCCTCATTTTAGACAAGCACCTCGATCGTGACATCAAAATTCTCAACTTTTCGACACATTCAAAGGACGGCGCGAACGAAGAAGCCTCACTCAGACAACGAACAATGTACGACAAAATCTGGGGCACCGATGACTCGGTTTTGAGCTCTCGGCTTCGGAATTTCAGCCCTCTCAAATGGGGGATGAGCGCAATGCAGGGGAGAATTTGGGAGGAATGATATGTGATTTTCAACTGGCTGTTGGCACAGTTGGTCGGGTGCTGGATGTGCTTTCTAGAAGTGGTAGGTTGGATTCTTACACGGCCTGTTTAAGGGGGGACTACGGCTGCTCGTCGTGAAAGAGTACAGGAGGAATTATTGAGGTTTTCTCACGAAGGTTTTCCCTCAATACATGGTCTTAGGATCATGGTGAATTCGTTCCTACCTATTCGACCAGATGTAACTAGCGTGAGGCACGTATTTGGAAAAGTCAGGCACCGTATGGGCTTTGCTGGAGAATGGAGGAACTTGTATTCTAGATGTCCTCCATGCGTGTCACGTCCATTGGATGGAGGGTGTAAGCCTGGCACGATAAATAAATCATCATCATCATCATCACCGCTTTGGGCATCCAGCTGCCCATCGCCTCCAATAACTGCTGGAGTCAACTGGTCACAATGATGTTAACTATGAAGAAATTCGAAAATTAAATCGCTTCTGCAAACAGTGTCAAAAGTTTGGCAAATCTTCCGCCCAATTTATATCCAAACTTCGTGACAAAATAAACTTTAACCATGCCATTGTTATTGATATCATGTACATCAATATGAATCCAATCCTGCACATTGTTGATGAAAGCACCGGGCATCAGGCTGCTCAATGGCTATGTAATATGACCTCTGAGCACATATGGGATACGCTATGCTACGCATAGATAAATGCATATCAAGGACCTCCAGATTATGTGAATACCAATGCCGGAAAGAATCTTGTCAGTAAAAACTTTGTCCAAAGTGTAGCCACTATTATCACAGGCTTATGCCTGGTTATCATTAGGCTGCTGCCTAATAAATAAAGCTTGAACCCTTCCAACTTTCTCAAACACCAAAGATGTCATGAACCCCTCCACAACTCATTAGACCTAAGTATAGGCCTCGGCCCAGCTCATGTAAATCTTTTCTTAAATAACAAATTTAGATTGCAGAAAAGACGACTCGACTACCAGTTATGAGTCATCTAAGCCAGATGCATCATGAACTATTTTAATAACAAAATGGCTAATGTTAAAATGAAGCTGGATTAAAATAGACAGAGATGCTGGTGTTTGTTGGAGGACAGGTCATGATCTATTTTGAGAATGGTATGAAATAAAGGAACGAGGTCATAGTCCTGTAAATAAATAGGAGCCTCTCAGTCATGTCTCTGCTCGTTACTTTAAGATATTCATTTGTATCTAGCTCTGAGTTCAGTTTGAATAAAACGCCACCTTAAGACCGTCACAGTAGAATGAATGGTTTTCTCGCGTGGAAAGCTTGACATGGCGTCTGTCCACTAAAAGCACTGTGTGCCTGACGATTTTTGGTGTTTGTGAATGCTTTGGCTGCTTCGGCCCATAACTCTTTATCTTTAACTGTTACCAGAATTGCAAGGACTCCCTCGATAACAGATCGATTTAGCCTTTCGGCTATTCTGTTTGATTCGGGCGAGTATGGAGACGTCAAATGATGACTTATCCCCTTCTGAACCTGAAATTCGGAAAGCGTTGCACTGACATATTCACAGCCGTTGTCTGTTCTAAGTGACGTAACTCGACAATTGTATTGCGTTTCTAATGCCTTAACAAAATAGATAATAGCCTGAGCCGCCTCAGATTTGTGTTTAAGGAATTGAATCGTGGTGCAGCGTGTCGCGTTATCAACAAAACTTATGTAGTATAGCGCATTGCCATACGACGGAACAGGAAACAGTACAGCAAGATCTGAGTGAATGTATTTACTTTTCGATGTTGATCTTGTAGCTGATGAGGCTGGTTTGCTATGCACGGATTTAGATGACATTCAGGGATCACAGTGAAAATTCTTAGGGCAATTCGGAATTACACTTGAGTTTTGGATCAGCTTCTCTGTCTTGGTTATTGTTGAAGAAGATGCATGACTGAGGGCTTTATGCCAGAATTCATAGGTAGAGCAAGCTACTTCATTTTTACGTGCTACTTCCCTGATCACTGGCAAGGCACCGTCGTAATGAGCTTCCAACCAGATTTTATTATTTTTTGTAAAACTTAGGGAGGTCTTCATGTGAATGTCACGTGAATATTCAAAAGGTAAAAGCGAATACAAGAAATGAATTGATTAATGTTCTCCGTGCTAAAAGTCCATCGTAGCACTATAATATATAATTCTACCCCATTAACGCCCCTGATCATCACTTTTAAACCGATGTGTGCTTGAGTAGATCGTACTTTGGCTTATGGACTGGGTTCAGACTTATGCTTGCATAAGTCTGCTTACATTTTTATATATAATCATCACTTTGCCATTGTCATGGAGTAAGTATCCCTTGGATCTAGCTTTCTTCCAAGAAAATAACAATAAAGATAAGTTTGACACATATAGTACATCATTAACCTTGAAATTTGAAACAGTCCCATCTGATATCTCACAGTGTAACTATATACTTCTTTTCCCTTCGATCGACATTCTCTCATTTGAACTTGACATCACATAACCGGAGCAAGGCACGAGTTGTTCGAGTCGTTTTGGGTAAGGATACATGTGAGCAGTTGCGCAAGTTTCAAGGTAAAATAGATGACTAACCTGATCAATGCCCGTAACAGTTATATTTGCCCGTTATAAGGTTATTTCAGATTGTTTCGAATTCGGTTGGGACAATTTCTTTTTAAGTCTAGGGCAAGAGCTATATACATGCCCTCTATACTCTGTCGGAAAAAGTTTCTTGCAGAAGGAATATTCAATCAACAAGGGGCGTTTGGAACAATTGGAAACCCTTCCAGGTTTCCTTGGCTTGAGTGAGTTATTGTCTGCTTTACCAACTTGCGTGATGAGAGCTGTTGGGGGAGGTGCAGTGCGATCTAGATCAAGAAGACGTTGTTTAACCACGGCATAGGTACAATTGTCCTTAGTCGTCAAGTTATCAACTACATCCTTATGATGTTCACAGAACGAACTCAACAAGTAACTCCTCTTAACTTCATCATCATCAAGAAATTCGGCTAGCTTGTGGCGGTTCGAGCTTGAAGATTCTCGGGCGTACAATGTTAACCAATCATACTCCGTCTCGAATTCGTCGATTACCTAGCTGACAGTGCGACTTGGATCGCATGCATTTGTAAGGAGCGCAACTGACCTAAGTTAATGGATCAATGTAAAAGAGCTGTTCTGGTGGTACTGCTCTTTTAAATACTTCCACATCAAGTGAGGGTCTTTGAGTTTTAAGATCTTACCAAGGATCTTTGAACCAACGACCTGAATATATACATTTATAGCAATACTCGAGAGTTGGCTGTAGGCTCCTTTTTCTTCAGGCGAAGCGTCCTTGTCCGGCTTTTTGCCGTCGAAGACAATCTCATTAAGTCCCTGCCCTTCGAATACTGCAGTCATTGTAATGGCCCATAACTCATAGGTTACAGTACCAGTGAGATGGGTTACATTAGTTAATGACATTGTGCGCAAGTAGTTGGTTCCGAGTCTCGAAGCGAAGAAGCCGATTTTCAAGGACAAGGATTCCATTTCTGTTGAGCTCTTAGAAGACTTCTTTCGAGATGAGGATACTTACTAGTGATGGAATCTTTTTGCTTTTAGGGGCACCGGGCTATAACCTGTTGAGCGGGTAGGTTTGCAAAAGCTTGTGGCTGTTAGGCGCAGATTATATCACTTGGTGAAGCGAGTGGGAATAATAGAGGAGCCTGTAAATCTGTCGTGGAGAATTGTTGATTACTCCCACTAGGACACAGAGTGCTAAATAGACAATATTCTGTAATAAGAAAATTTAGTGGTTGATATTTATATCAAAGAGCATTAATACTAACCTCACAATTAATGGGAGATTAGTGACGTGTATTCTACACATCCTTGTCTTTACAACAGCTGGAAGCACCAATTTAAAGAGATTGATCCTGTTCTGGCTGGTAGAAGGCGTATGTTGAGGAGGGATGGAGGGGGCTTCCGTCGAGATGTTCAGTGCGCTGAAGCTACCGAGAGAGTTGGCAGCCTCCGCGTGGCGTTCTTTCCGGAGATTAATGCGGTTATGTGAACGGAGTTCCGTAATCCTTTTGTATGAAGTATGAATAAGTTTGCCCTTGAAAGGGTGAAGGCAGAGAGGGTAGTTCGGGTCGTCTGCAGAATGTGGCCCCAATCAATTACTGCACCCACAAATATGGAGGTATTCCCCTCGGTGGCGAAGGACATCACAACGAGCGCACAGCGCTTAATGCGGCAGCGAGAGGATTGATGAACCCCAAAGCAAGAATTGCATTGTATTATCTACGGGTTAGGGATATCACATTAGGAAGGAGCGCTGTTAACCATTCTAAAAATAGACACCTCTTTTGGGAAGAAAATAACTGCCATATGCAGAGAATCATGGCGATCTTCATGTAAATACATTGGGTTCCAGATGAAGCGACGCCTGTCTGTGCCTCAGCAATGCTCTCAACATCATCAAGCATGATTGGAACCAGATTGGAGACCGGATTCCAAATAGTGCATGGGATACGCTTAACAACGTACCCGATGCGGTCATCAAGTTGAATTAGTGTACCTGAAAGAGACGCCTTTATGGAATCAGCATTTTCCATCGCGATTTTCAGCGATGCATCAGACGAGAAAGTGACGGTGAAACCATGTGGGCAACGAGAAACAGTGGCAATTCTATCTTTGAGACCGGGAAATTTTTAAATGAAAGCAAGCTTGACTACAGTTGCGTCTACTCTAAGGATTGGAGCTTCCTTAGAGAGGTGGAAGATTGCTTTGGGGCCCTTTGTGATCGCAGCTTGTTTTGGAACGGGCGTGCAAGAGGGGCGAGGCGAAGACGGCGCTAGAGGGACAGTGGCGGTCTATGCCCAGCTCTGTGGTCACTTTGCTGTTGGAATATGGGGTCGTACTGGTATACTTTGGCTGGGCTTGGATGAGGACCCCAATGGCTTGTGTTATCTTTGGCTATCGTGTCGCATATGGTGCCCGGAAGTAACCGCAAGGAGAAACGCGTCCATTTGCTTGCGCATGAAGGACTGAATTAGAAGATCAGCCTCTTCAACGGCTGACTAAAACTTGTTATGAAAGATTTGAACCAAAGTAGCTCGACCCTTCGCATGGTGCTGGATAACCTCGAGCTCTTCAGTGACGCGCTAGGCCAGAGGAGATGGTTGTTGTGATTTGGCCATCACGGGCGCGATGGCCAAACTAAAATGCGCTTAATAGATATCAAATTTAAGGAATCGAATTGGAGGGAACAGATGGAGAGGAGTATGGAGACATTGCGTGAGGGCGACTATGATGTGTGTATTTCCTTAATATATACAATAAATATCACATGCCATTGTGGCGATACCACGTGATGAGAGTCTTTATCCTATCTCTTGATAATAGGTGTTTGATTTTTGTCATTCTTGGCCCCTCATTTTACAGAGAAGGAAGATATAGATGGATATGTGTTCCTCCTGTGGCTCTGTTGTCTAGGACCGACTTGCTAGAGCTGGTGAGTTTTCAAGAATTTCCCATGCACGCAGTTTTCATTTATACCTGTTTTTTTTTGGTAGATAGTTCCGTGGAAAAGGTAGCTGAATCCTACAATTGTGTACTGAAATAAGTGTCTATCCATCATGGGCAATATATTAGAGGATCCTATAGTGAAAAAAGAGGATAATAGCACTGTACATGGCGTAGCCTAGGCCATAGAGGATCTCAATGTGTTAGATTCTCATGGATTCAATGAGCAAGATTGACAGCAGGCTAAACCAGAAGGGTAACAAGAAGAAAAGTAGTTCGTTCAAAGCTCAGTTATATGGTAAAAGATGCGAAAGTGCAAGAGCTTGGGTCATACTGTTCCTATCTTTAAAATTAGGCGCCCTAAGACTTCTCATAATTCGACGCTTATTTTCAGTTTATGTTGTCCCTATAATCAACATGATAAATTTTAAGTGGTTTTTTGCAGATAGCCTAATTTAATCTGATACTACACGTGTTAATCCCAGGGGTATAGGAGTTGCCGATATCCTATAAGTAAGATGATAAAATTTAGGATCAACGCAGGGCAGATGCAATTAGCTGATCGTATTAGAAAAATTAATTACAAATACATATATTTTAAAATCGTTTTCTTAAACGGTTAACGAGAGTGAATACTTATCGATTGGAAAGCGTAACCTGGCGGCTAAGACAGATCTCACTACACTTCCCTTGCTATTATCTGCCGGTCAGATTTTTGTAGAAGCTATAAAGGTTGCGGATAGTAAAGTGGATATGTGTCTTTTGTTTCGAGATATTATTCTTGGGCTTCAATCCTTGACGATCACCCTATAAGAGGCATTAATGCATAAAACTTTTTCAAAAGTAGTCATTGCTGCTTATTACTTATTTCGCCAGATGTTATGTTATTTTTTAAAACATCGGGCATGACAAGGTCTGGTATTTCTATTTCAGGCTTGGTAGCTAAGAGCTTTAGGTCACAAGTTTCATCATTGCTGGTTGCAAGTAAAGCCTTCTCTGAACTCAAGGATGCTATTTCTTTTGCATCCATATAAGCTTTTGAACGAGCTGTACTTAAGCTGTTACCAAGATGGGTCGTTTTTTCTGACTGGGTCTTTACAGTCTTCCGGATTGTACAAATTTTCCCGTTACGCACAGCCCCCGAAGAACTACCAGCGGCATACGCTACTAAAGTCTCATCATTTTCGACCCAATACATTGGGCCTCCTGGGAAGCTGGAATAATCGCCCTCCCAACTGATGTTTTCCTCCATATTTGCATGTAGTTTCGGTAAGTCACCGTAATGAAATTCTAGCTCACCGCCGTATTTTTTGGGTAGATTTTGAGGCTCAATGAAACCTTCAAGAGTTTGTTGGGTTTCTGCTGCGCCTATTATGAAAATTTTGGAAGTCGTGTTTACGTCAAACCATTTCTTGATCCAACTCCAAACAGTTGGAAAAAAGCTGGGTGCACCAATTATAAAGATACGGTCCAATGTTTCAGGGTAATGAGCTGTGGCCAGTGTGGATGCGTTCAGCATGTGTTCGCGCAGATTCCAAAACTGCCTAAGCCCTAAGCCAGAAATATCTACAATATTACTACTCTGTGTAATCGGCGTGTCAGGATAAGGTCGATCGGTAGCTGTGGTGCAGAGTGGCATGGTGAACCTTGTGAGGTTTTCATAAAGTGCAAACAAGCGCAGTATCTTCGATGAAGTTTTGTTGTCTGTTTGAGCAGTTGTAGATGTTTTCTTTGATGAATTCTCGTAATCTGCCATAGTTTGTGAAGTCAAGTGTTTCACCTCGAAAAGATAGACAGGGATTCCACGACGGTCGCATCGACCAGTCCATTGTGGGTAAATACGGCGGGCTTCCTCATAGTGTTGGAGATCAATTGTTTCATAAATTTCGCAAACGGAGTTTAGCTTTCGCCAATCGACATCAGCAATGAACTGTTCCACAGCTGAAGCAATTTCGAAGCGTCGGGCGCGTAAGAATCGACTGTGTTGAATAATTAGCAATAATCTGATGGAGACAAAGGGTAGTTACAGAAGAGTAGCATCATCGTGAGATGCTGAAGACGAGGGCGACAAGGGCTCGTAGTAGCCTTTTTCTTTGCAAAGTAGCTTGAATCCTGCCAGAGCCAATTCTTGTTCGGTTGTAAGGTGACCTAGATGGCCGTGAGGATAGCCGGACCCGGCTTCTGCGCTTTCTATCATTGAATATCGACAAGCATCCAGGAAAATGAAAGAATTTTAAAATGTTGAATTACACAAATTGAATTAACCCTTTTTAAAATTATCAGGCACTTGTCTAGGTATGGATAGTCTGAGCAATCTAGGCTGATGGCTCAAAACCAACCCCACATCTCCATATTTTGGGAACCCTAATCCTAGTATATCACATTGCACAACAACTTCTTAATTCCAGTACTAATGATTTCTCGATCCGCCCAAATTCTACGCCAGATCGTTCAACCTCGATCCAATATTACTTTCAAATACACATCCTATCAATCAGCAAATACGAGCCAAATTATGTCTTTATCTATAGAAGATCGACAGTCCAAAAATATACACACTGCGGCATGTTTAGTGATTGGTGATGAAGTACTAGGTGGTAAGGTATGTATATAATTTAATATCAAGTGAAAGCTATGTACTGACTGAGCTACTAGACTGTGGATGTATGTTACAGTCAGGATGATGATGTCAAACTAATCGGGATGCCAGACAAATTCTGCATACTTCGCAAAGTTTTGTTTCCGCCTGGGAATCGTACCATGCCCAATTCAACTTCCCGTAATCCATTTTGCTAATGTGTTTTGTGATGAAAGACTCTGAAGAGAATTGAGGTTATTGCAGATGATTCATCAGAGATAATCGAAGCCGTAAGACGCATGTCAAACAATTATGACTTTGTAGTAACATCTGGAGGAATCGGCCCAACGTATCATCTTCCACGCCCCGGTCTAGTAACATAACTAATATGGTAAAAATTCTAGGCACGACGACATAACCTATCAGTCAATCGCTTCAGCTTTCTCTCTCCCATTATCTTTACATCAAGAAACTTTTTCATTAATGAAAAAACTTTCCAAACCGCACCCTTCTCAGCTCGAATTTTCCTGGGACGTCCCTTCTCCAGCGCTCACAGCAAAAAAACGTATGGCGCAACTTCCAATTGATAACTCACGTTCTTTGTCGTCCCAAGTTCTCTTTCCTTGTGATGACCTTTGGGTGCCCGTATGTTGTGTTAATGGTAATATTCATATCCTCCCGGGAATTCCACGACTATTCCAAAAACTGCTTGAAGGACTACAGCCAATTTTACTGCCTCGCCTAGATGATCCAAATGGTGAAGGAGTCGTACGGATCCTAATTAGTACTCCTTTAGCTGAGAGTGAAGTGGCCGGATTCTTATCAGAATTGGCGGAACGGGTGGCAGACAAAGGAGTTAAGGTAGGTAGTTATCCAAGGTGGGGGAAGAGTCGGAATACTATTTCGTTAGTGGGTAGAGATAAGGAATTTATGGAAAGTCTAGTAGATGAGGTCGAAAAAAATGTCAGAGGGAAGCGGGTATCAGTCGAGGGTGAGGATGACAGTGACGTTGAAGAAAAGAAAGCCTAAATTTTCTGAGGTCATTGACGGTCATATCTAGGACTTTTGTATTGACGTGCGAATATTTATCCAGAAAAATATAGGTACGAGCATACTAGAAGGTGATCTCAACAAACCCATGAATTGAAAAAACGCATTATTCACACCTTCACCCCAAGGAAATAATCTATCAGCCAATCTAGTTTTTTAAGCGGAGCGTGAGACGATGCGGGCGGTCCCGCAGTTTCCGATGTCACAAGGCGAAGTCGACAATCGCCCCCTGGACGGCGCAAGGCCGGGTCTCGCTTGAAGCAAGTTGTCGTCATTCCTGTTTAATTATTATAACACCAACAATAAAGCATATTATGCATCGCGGATCGCAAAATGACTTGGACAAAGCAGTAACTGGCAATCGAATTATTACATTGACTTGATATCACACAAATCCTCAATATAGTTAGGACCGGCTACTCACACATGGACGTCTCCATCGAAAGATTTCTTGGCAAAGTGCACTTGTGACACTTATTTCCTTCTCTTGAAGGCTATATTGAGGGGGTCAATACTCTTCAGCTGAACACTCTATATATCGCCTTAAGATACGGGACTCATACAAGTAGTCATGAGAGCACAAGGATAGTGTAAGCATTAAAGACAATTGCACCGAGTAGCGAGCTCAGATTTGACTAGTGTCCCACAGCCTTGTTATTTTTCATTATCTACTGGCTTTCCTCCGTAAATAGCCCGACGTGATAGATCTAATAGTTTTACAAATTTTTATAAAATTGGAAATAATCATCTTGAAGGACATAGCCCTTTGCACCTGAAAGGTAAAATACGAGGTGGGAGCTCATCATAGTCGGGGTTTGAAGCTTACAGCGGGCTCGGGTAAAGCAATAGCCTCGGGGATATTGCACTGAGCATTATCCACGTATATTGTTGAGAAGAAAATTGTGTAAATTATTCCTAGTACGCATTTCTGTGGATAGTATGCATCAGACAGGGCCATCGAAGGCCAAAACAAAGGTGGGAGTCTACTAGCGCGCTAAGGCCCTCCCCAGGACCTCTGTGCGTGCCCTTCTCCTTTGAGCCCTGAGTCCCTAGCCACAAGAACGATACACCATTCCATAAATTCTACCTGACACATAATACGCATCAACAAGGGCAAGTTTTGTTCGTCGCCCCCCGCCTTCTTAATTTACAGACCATCGTTTACCCGTAGTGCGTGTGGACATACTCGAACTAGACCCCCAGCAATCTGCAGATTGCGTTTAAACTTACGCCGGACCCAGCTGCAACGCGAGCGCCTGAGCTATCCTTTCCGATAAGAAAACGGCTGTGCAGGATATCGAATTAATTCATAGGACAATTACGCATCGGTGAGAGTTTTGAATACAATTTAATTACATTCACGCAGCTTGTTCACTCATACATCGGCACGGGAAAATCTTGTCAAATCAATTGGGAACCAACAGTTGTCTTTAGATACCCAACGCCGAGGAAGAGAGGATCTTTGGCGAAATATAGATGACTTGATTCCATCATCTAAATCTTGTATATTGCGATAGAGTTTGACGAGATGGCATCCAAAGTGAGTGAGGTCCTGTCTGATAAATCAACGGCTTGACAGATGCTTTGGCTGACTAGTATTGACGCTAATAGTTCCTAAGAGAATATAAGCTGGTAGTGGTTGGTGGTGGTGGTGTGGGAAAGTCGTGCTTGACGATTCAACTGATTCAAAGTCATTTCGTAGATGAGTATGATCCCACCATCGAAGGTATGTACAACATCATTTATTCAGCAGTACACGTAATATCTCAGAACTAACATCAACACGCAGACTCATACCGAAAACAATGTGTAATTGACGAAGAAGTAGCACTACTCGATGTACTCGATACAGCGGGCCAAGAAGAATACTCTGCAATGCGAGAACAGTACATGCGCACGGGAGAAGGGTTCCTACTTGTTTACAGTATTACAAGCCGTCAGTCTTTTGACGAAATCTTAGTCTTCCAACAACAGATTTTGAGGGTTAAAGATAAAGATTATTTTCCAATAATAGTTGTCGGTAATAAATGTGATCTCGAGAGCGATAGGCAGGTTTCAGAAGAAGGTATGTCTGACTCAATCTACATTTACCTGTTATCCACAAGTCTACATGGCGCGATTTCATACTAGGATATCCTTTTTATCGCTAATCCATAAATTAGAGGGACACGCCTTAGCTCGGTCCTTCAACTGCAAGTTTATCGAAACATCTGCTAAGTCTCGTATCAATGTTGATAATGCATTCTACGAAATTGTCCGCGAGATTCGTCGCTACAACAAAGAAATGACGGGGTACACTGTCGGCGGCGGCTCTGGCTCCGGCAGTGGCGGCCCCAGCGGCAAACTTGACGTCAGCGACAGTGAGCGTGATAGAGGATGTTGCGGTAGTTGCGTTATCATGTGAGATGGTTATCCTAAACTTCTTCCTTCTATTTCTCTCTTCACCTATTTTATTTATTTATTATTTTCATACTCTTTTCAATATTTTGATAGAGGAGTTATTTAGCTCGGTTCTCAAATAGAGGGATGAGGATTTTATAAGACTTTGACAGCACGATAGCACGGTTACCGTTGTGGAAACATTTGAGGGTACGATTACATGTACGTTTTGTTAGCTTTGGGGAAAAAGCGCAAGCACAAAATAATTGCCAGTAGAGCAGCAACTTCTACCTCTGGTAAATTTAAAGATATGGGGTGGATCTAGTGTGTATGAAAGGTCTACAGCTTAAAATTGGGACAGCGGGCGTAGGAGCAGCTTTTACTTCTAATTTAACACCATCACCGCCTGGTTCTATTTAGGAGAAGCAGCTAACTCCTCGGTTGACGGCTTATTTGAGCCTTCTCGGATATTTTTATAATTAGCTGCATGAAGGATTGTGCAGATATTGGAGTATCTGGCTTAAGAGCGATCTTAAAAAACCGCACATAATACAATCATTTCACCAGATCGATTTACCACATGTTGAGAGCCACTATGGTTAGTCATGAGACCAGAGATGATCATGGACTAAAGAACCATTTAGTGCAGTTAAGCGCCAGTTGATGCTATAGGAACGGTATGGTGACATAATAGTGCCGTTGTATGACATGTCTACGTGTTGGTGACTAGGACCACAAAGAAGACGGGAATATCGTGATGTCAGTGCGCAAGGTGGATGTTACCGCGTGAGTCAAGTCACATATAGAGAGCACGTCGCCGAGCACGCCGCAACTCAGTTCTCAGGGTACTGTATCACGACAGTAGCACCATGGCCATGTAAAAGAAGACTGCGTTAGCAAGGCCATCGTTTATGCAGCATAATCACACGATTCACACTAGTATGAATATGGTAATTTGCCCTCTAAAAGCCTCCATGCCAAGAAGACTATGTGTGTACCTTTTCTTGTCCTTTAGCAGTCAATAATTACGCTAGAGATGTAGGTCCTCCCTGCCTCTTTTACAGATCCCCTAAATCAGCCATTTGAACTAAAACTAAACTCATAGCTACCTTTGAAGCGTTCCTGGAGACTGGCCATACTGGTGCCGCAGATTTGTGATAACCCGGGAGAATATTTCTCTTCTTTTCCAATATTCTTTTCACATCATCTGCCATGGTGCGAGAATTTTGGATTGTATTAATCCCGTACAAGGCAAAATCCCTACACTCAAGAGGCATGATACAGGTATGATCCCTGAAGACTCACTACTGTCTATCCGCCCAACCTTCTAAGCCGAGTAATTACATGAAAGAATAAATGAAGAAAATTGACTGAACAAAAACCGCCCTGTTCCTTGCCCACTTTCATACCCAATTGCCAAAAGAATCCAGTCTCTCGAGATTTATTAACCCTCTCAATCTGAAAATTGCCTTCCGTAATATCTACTGACGGTTATGTACTTAAAGAATTCCTTCCATCCGTTTTCTGCCAATATAACCCGCCTTCTTGATGGTAGTTCATGTCTGAATATTCTCCACTGTCGCATAACCGTTCGGTAATCTACGAAGTGCAAAGGACGTCTCTCTCTTCTACTGAGACGTCTGCCGACGGCATTTTCGTGCTCAAATCTGTTGTGTTAGCCCTTAAAGTTACCGTGTCCTGTACTTGCTGCTATCAGACGATGGTACGCCCATCTCGGCAATCCAAGCTCAGGCGGTCGTTTTCATCCCATACGCAGGTCTAGTTTCACGTAACGACTTGGTCTATGCTCTACCCACCAGGATTACACAGCTTCCTCAGCCTGCACTCGTACGAACTGGTTCAGAGCTGCAAAGGTGTATTTCTGCTCACCCCTTAAATCTAGGATGACTCTCAGGGCTGCCTTGGCCAATTTATCCGCCTGCTTGTTCCCGATAGCTAGGGAATCACCCAGTCATGGCTCGAGAATTATTGCATGAGCAATCAGTTTTCCGGAGGCCGATGGACACCGCCTTCTAGGCTAACTTACAATGTCCTACTTTATCTATATGTCTTCTAGATTGTCTAAAATATTCTATTTTGGCTGATACCAGCTTTTCGCGTTCTCCGCCGGAGGTGACACACAGTCTCGTGACTAGTTGCTAGAATCTTTTTGTTACTTCAGAGCTGTCATGGGACCACCCCCCTTATTGAGCTAGTGTCCCGCTCAAACTCTTCAGTTGTTGACAGAACTTTGGCACTAGTAATGAAGAATGGTTATATTGTGCACTGAATTGTGTATTTTATTCCTTTTATCTAGGGTGTATCGGGCTGGCAATGACGAATTATTCACCTTCCAGTAGTGCCGGTGTAATCGCTCAGTATGTTCTGCATATCTGGGATAGCCAGGACGAGTCACTGCGAAATTGAAGTCGAGAGCAACCTCAAGAACATCTCCGTTTGACGACTTCTCAATTACGCAGTACTTACCGTCATCCTCTAAGTCCTCAACCTCTTTCTAACCACACATCATCTCGCCTTGACGACCAATAAAGGCGTCACCTCAATTGCAAACGAGAACTTACCTCATTCATTCCCGGCAATCACTCACTAGAAATTTACGACGCTACGTCTACCCGCAAGGGGTAAATCAAATCGAAAAATACAAAACCTAGGTCCTGGCTTATGGGAGACTGTTGCTTTAATAGTACATACAACTTGAGGAGGAACAGGCGGCTGAGATGCGGAAAAGATCTCTGAAGACCATGCTGGGACTGACATTTTCGAGGGGTTTTCGACTTTGGAACATTTTTGGGCGCCAAGACTGAGATTTCGGCAAATTAGGCAGGAGGACTTTCATTGTAGATGAGTCAACGGCACTCCCCAGCGCTCTGGACGGTACAAAAGAAGTTGAGCCAAGCTACCACACAGCAATCAAGCTCTGTCAAGACTTTTCCTAGTTTCAGCACGACCTTTGGGAAAGATTTGGAAGGAGGCTAGAAAGGCAGAGTATGAATTCTCTGAGGTACCCACAAGTCTGCAGCGCCCAGCTGGCCAGCCTCTTCGAACGCTTCGGAAGGGTCACTATGTCTTCGGATCTAGTCCTAATGTCGGTATTAGGAGAGCTTCGCACCCAGTGGTTTTTTGCGATTTTACCCGGCTGCCACACACCCGCAAATGGCCATCGTTTCGTTGGCTGGAGAGGGGAGATAATGAAGGGCAAAGGGCTGCTCTAAGTGTATGATCGAATGAGGACTCGTGAGGGATGCTCTATATCGAGGGGAGCTGTATGGGAGGCATAGGAAGGGATATACTACTGATACAAGTATCCTTGGCCTGTAGGTAGAGAGGACGTGCATTTCCTATAAAGTCATAGACTGATAAAGGATAATAAAAAATAATAATACACACAAGCCATCTATCATTTGCTTCTTGGGCCAAAACGAAGATCTTGCAACAATATGAGAAAGTATTAAAGGAGAATAAGTACCGAAAACCAGTCTAGTCCAGACTCTTAGTGCCGTTCTTATTAGTGGAGAATTTTTAATTATTATTATTAATCTATTTATGACCTTGTCAGTTTACAGATTTGTAGAAAAAAGGAGAATGCTTTAGACTCAGAGGGTAGAAGCTTTCCTTAATACATACACTACAATGAAAACTGGATACTTGTCATGGACTTTGTTGACTGTTGATTGGTTTTCGTCCCCCAAATATGTACAGATTTTAATTGGCCAAACTTACAGCTTTTTCTTTATCTACTCGGCGCGTTGTATTCAAGTTGTCCTTGTAGTAAAGGACTGCCACTAGGTTCTAGTAGTGGGCTTGGGGAGAAATTGCCTTTAAATGTCTAGTCTACTGTATTGGATTAGACTAACCAGTACCGTGATCTCTTCATTTCGCTCCTCGCTCATAATATTCCTGCACTAATGACTTTCTATAATTCAATCTGGAAACAATTTTTTACCCATCACGCTTCAACATTGATGTTTGCAGAATCTTACCTGCTAAACGCATCGAAAATTGTGCTCAGCGTTGGTGACAGTTATGAGATTGACACCGAGACAAAAAATCGTCTCCTTATAGGAAAAAAATCGGTTTCCCCCGCATTTGAGTTTACAAAACTGATGTAAATATCTCCATTCATGACAGAATCAAATGCGAAGCCCGATGGCTCAGAATGTGTCTAGAAAATGGTCTATATTTTGAAAGCCGCGTTACTGATTGCATTGTTCCAGGGGTGGGGCTCGTACAATACTTTCACAAAGTAAGGCGGCACGTTCAGATCCCAAGGCCAGACTTATGAATCATAGCTATTTGTCTGCTAGCAAATCATACCACGGAGAAGGATGAATGAACAACTATCGGTGGTGCTTTATACGAAGCTGGGAGTGAGATATTCTCACACGGCCTAGCTCGGTCAAATTTCACTAGGCAATTGGAGTTGGTCCACGAGACGATAGCCCAAGATTACCTGCCCCACCAACTATTCTCTTCCAACGAGATCAATTCTGATCAGAGTTTAATCAAGTCTGCGAGTACAGCCTAGTAATCTCGATTTTTATGTCCGCAACCTAGATTCATCTAGTTTCTGGCTTCTAATTATACGCCCACGAAAATATGAATATCCACAGGAAGACAATGATCGAGGCGCACAAAAATTTTTGGATGGGAGAGAGAGAGAGAGAGAACAGGAAAAATAGACAGTGTTATGCTGAGGACGAAGAAAATTTCCAAAATGTGAAATGTGGATTTTTTGATGGAGTTTCTTATATTAAAGAGCATTCTGTGCTCCACAACATGACTTATGATAGAGCGAAAAACACCATCGGATCAGTGGTGGTTATGTGGTGCAGTGGTATTCTATCCAGGTTAATCACCCAAATACAGTCTGGATAGATTAGTCACCTATCCCACTTCAGACAGGAGAACGCTAGCTCGGACCTAGCAAAGCTCGATTAAGATTCATGTGGATTACATTAGATTAGATTTGTATTATATTCCAAACTGAATCAATGACTATGGCAG